TCCAAATATAGAATTTTTATATAGAATTCTTATAGTTGTTCGGATAAACGTCTGGAGGAAGACATTGAAAGTGTCATATTTAGCTCTTCTGGTGTTGAGGAGATCCTTGGTAGTGGTTGGAAAAAAGGCTTTCTCAAATTCTCTTTTCATTCTTTCCTTGATTTTTTCCCACCTTCACACCTTCTTATAGTGGTATGGCAGAGGAACAAGGCCTTGAGCTAGGTCTCCCTCGCCCAAACATCTTGACCATCAACTTTCTTGATATTTATTTCTCGTCACTCCTTGTCACTCTTAACCCCTCTCTTCACGCCTTCAATCCCTTACTTTCTCGCAAGAGATACAAGTCTGTCTCTTTTTTCTCTTGTTTGTTCTACCTCTTGATAATTTTGTATGTAAAGGGTATAGGCAATAATAGTTTGAGTAGAGATCAAGAGCAAGACAATTCTTCTTAGTCTCCCAATATAATGCTCAATCAATTATTTTTCGTTGTCCCTACTCATTCTTCAGTTATATCCCTTCACAGCACTCCGAATCATAAAGTACCTCGTCAGATCTATAATCTCATAGTCATATTGCATTGTTTATACACCGTCGTTGATTCTTCTCGCAAGAGAGACTCGCTCTCAGGAGGAGTGATATGATACTTTCTCAACAACCCTCACTCTCACGATTTTGAACAAGTAGTTGATCTCAGTCTGATCAGTAGCAGCTCTCATGACAGAGTCTTTCATCCGATCAAGGAAGGTCTGCAAGAACTCAAACTCATCCAAAATGGAGAGATTTTTGTATAAGATCCGAAGAGCACCTTTTGTCTTGACCACACTTCCATCTAATACAATCCCAAATGTTAGCCGTTAAACCGTTCCAAACATTATTAATCATTATAGACTATGTCAGGAAGGACAGATCTTCAGATGAGTGTAGTCACGGATCTTAAGCCGGTGCTCAAAGGTATTCATAAGTAAGGACTTTATTACCACTTTGGAGTCACTCTCCATTGTTTTACCTACTATGGTAATGACCTCCAGGAGAGACATCCAGTCTCTCCTTTCGTCAAAGTCATCAGTAGTTGAAAAGGTAAAGAGTCTCTCAAACTGCCTCACTCTCTTTTCCCAAGTTACTTTTCTTTGTAGTTTCTTAAGCTACTTTTTTGCCCTTATAAGACTTAAATCAGCCTTTGTACGACATTTCAAATATTCATCTTCCCTCTCCTTACACGCTGGGGCGTAAATTCTCAAGTCCAAGCTACAAGTATTAAGGAATTTGACCACTGGAATGTGAAATATTATGCGGTCTCTTACACAAGTCTCGCATCCGAGTCTCATAATTACAAAGGGATTATTAGACTTAGTCACTTCATATAGTCTGCCTCACACAACTGAAATTCTGGCTATGACAATTTTCTTCTTGAAACTTCTTCGTCTTCAATACAAGATATACATAGATGTCCAATTGTCGTTTTTCTTTACTGAAAGTCCCCTTGTTCTCATGATAGTCTCTTCATTCCTCTTTTCGAAGTACTATGTTAATAATTGGCATCCAATTACTTCCATCACAGTAGTTATTCGGAATTAGGGGAATATGAATTGTCACATAGGTCGTCGGCAGTATGTCCCATCCCACTTTCTTCTTTCGCTTTATTAAATCTGCCTTTTCATCGTAAATGAACTGGGCAGCAATCTCTCATAGCCAGTTACAATTTTCACAATCGTTGTTGTCTCCCTCCTTGACGTAAGGGCGAATATCGTAGATATCCTCCTCCGAGAATCGAGTCATCACTACACAGATGGTTGAGTAACGATAGTGATAAACCCAACAACCCTCATACTGATGGGGGAGTACCCCTTTAGAAGTGAGTTTAGACAACTCAATCAGTGCATCATTGACCAGCATCCCTGAATTTAATTTGTTTTCTTCTTTTTCAATTTTCTCAAAATATCATGTGCTTATAAGACATACCTTTAATCAAGCCTGATCCTTTCCAATAAATAATGTAAGTCTCCTTCTCCCGTCAAGTGTGGTACCTCACACCTGAAGAGATAAAACACAGTTAGCACTGGAGTTTCCAAGAGAGTAATAACTCAATGAGGATTGCAAAATCAGTCTGAAAATTCGAATATTGTCAACAGTTCTCAAATCCTAACAAAAACTCAAAGTTATTATTGACCTAGGTTCGTTCCGGTCACGAAAAATTTTCAAGTCTTTAACAACGGTGCCATTTTTATCGCACTTTTTTCGGTCAGACCACTTCTAACGACCAAACGACCAACAGGTTGTCGCTCAGGATTTTGATGTCGTTTGCAATAAATAAATAAATAAAATAAAGCAAATCCCCTCCTATTGTATGCATCCGGCTTCAAGTAAGCCCCTTCAATTGTGGTCATCGCCAGTCCTCGGTCTAGGTGTTGTTGCTCGCGCTTCGTGGTCCCGGTAGAGGTCTTTGCTTCGTTGTACGCTACTGTCACATGAACCTATGTCGTCACACCGTCCCTTCTGCATCTCCGTTTCGCTCGATCTTTGACTTCCGTGACAGTTGTCTGCAACTTCGGGTCTGTTCTCATTTCCTCCTTTCTCGCTCCCTCCATATTGATCCTCATTTTGATCTCATCTTCTCTGTCGTAGTTAAGGATGGCAGTGATCCAGTGTCCTTCCCCAGACATCGGCCTCCTATGCGTCAGAAGGTTCCTGCAGTCTGGTTTATAGCCATGCAAGGCTATAGCTACCCTCTCCCCGATAGTCGGAACCACTATTACTCAGACAGTCTAGGCCCGAAAGCGGCACCGCTATTCCAGCCCACTAAGCAGTGTGTCGAGGACACGGGCTCATACGCACCCACTGAGCAGCAACTCAGAGACCCAACGACCGTTTTTTATAGCGCTCATAAGTGTCGTGCTCCCTGTGTACAAAATGAGGGTTACAATAATTTTTCCAATACTTCCTATCTAATAGTCGATTATTACGAAATATGTGTTTACTTATATATATATCTTTTCTTGTTTTTTCTTTGTTGGATAACAGTAACGTTAAAACTAGACCTGACACTCAACGGCCACTATGAGAACGTGAACCCTCAGTCTGCATCTATCTGTCTTTTCATCTTAGTTTGAAAAAAACGTCAATCGGACACCTAGAAGTCCCATAACGGGATACCAGCAACACTTCGCCTCCTTCATAGAGTACTTACGGGCTACCACTTACAAGTACCCATCTCCGATGGCAAGGAGGGGGTTTATGACGTCCCCCCCGGGGATGATGGGGCACCTACCAAAGCGGTCGCGGCTTACCCCTTTTGGGGGGTTTACATCGCAGCAGACTCATAGCAACTGGAACGCCAAAGGTCAAGTAATATAGCCCTACCCATGCGAAATCACAGCATCGGCTGTCCGTTCTTCTGCGAAGCGGCAGGAGACGAAAGATAAAATTAGCAGTAATAATAATAATAATAATAATAATAATAATAATAATAATAGTCAGGAGAGAAGGAAAATAAGAGAGAACGTAGCGCCGCTGCATCCTGGTGCCACTTAGATAATTCAAATGAAAGTAACGATTCAATTAAGGTGTTGATCCGCTACGTGACTCTTTCTCGCTTTCCCTTTTTTTTTCCTTGCTTTCACTCCTTACTCGATTGTGACCGCCTGGCCTATGCACACTACCCTTAATCTAGCAAAAGGGAGGTCAGTGCGCAGTAAGGAGCACCGCACCGACCCCGTTACCCTCTCGTCCTTGAACGACGGCGACCACAGACCGATAGTGCTCTGCAGTACACCAGAGTGTCGAGCCTGAGTAGGTCGATGGAAAGTGCATGTGGCGCACCCCACCTCTTTCGCAGTGGAAGCACCCATTGGACCGATCCAGGAACCAGCCTAGGCGAGCTTGGTACACTACTGAGAAGCGGGACGCACCTAATACGATATGGAGGTCGAAAAACAAAATATGTCTGGTACCCACGGAGGGCCGAGACACTACACCATGTCCTCCGACAGCGGGCGCCAAGCGTGCCCAAGGGCTAGGACCCACTAGCCAAGTATTACTATGCCGCCTCAAGGGTTTCGATCATGTGTGGCCTGGAGTGATGCATTACGACCGTCAACGTTCTCAGATCTCGACGGCCTATAGTTTTATTTTTGGGCCTCCAAAAAATCGACAAACAAATGCGAAATTCAAAATTTTATTCTCTCATGCTGAAGTTCGTGGTGGATATGACAGAAAGACCTTCGCCTCTAGCATATGGCATGTTAAAGGTATCATGAAAGTGTGCTCATGAATGTTTTCGGGTTTCCGTTATGTTATGTGTCCTGGCTGCTTTTGTGGACACGTTGTCGGTGCAAATACCCTTATAAGGGAATCCGCCCTAGTTTTGCAAGTGATAAAAAATAAGCGGTTTAAAGTCTGGGTACATCGCACGGGTCATGGTGGTGTCTGCTGCTTACGTTGACTGAATGGTTGACTATATTAGAAAGTGTGTAGTCATGCAGACTTAAGGCACGCATGATCTTCTTTCTTGTTGATGATTGTGAAGCCGACATAGTTGCCGACCAAAAGTTTTATACTTGACTAAGACTATGATTAAAGGTTATCACTTACGACTGATACGTTTGGTCACGACATGTGCGCACGTATGGAGAACGACATCAACAACAATGTGATTTTTTTAAATGTTTCAGTGGATTGGCGTGTCGTGCAGTACCCACTTACATAGGTGTCCGCGGATCAGCCTTGGACCTAGCACTATTGGTTACGGTATCTGACTTTTGTCTAGGAGATTCAGGGATCTAGGTTGGCGGCGACGACGCAGGAGTAATCAAGTAGCGAGGAGGGACCAAGGGGGTAGAGGGCCCAGTAAGGCTATCCCTCATGGTTTTGTTGTCCGCGGGAAAGCTCTGTGAGACCAAGGCGGTACTAATATTTCCCTTTTCCTATGCTTCACTGCGTGACTCTGTTTCTAATTTTTGTGATCATTATTTTTATTTTTATTTGTTATTCTTGCTTCGTTGTAGTCGGGTACGGCACCAGAGCCGAGGAGTTCAACGTGCATGCCAGCAGGTGGGTGATTGAGTCCACGAGGAGGACGAAAACTGGGTGTCGTGGGCCTGAAGCAGGTGCCCGACCTGTCGCTTGGGAATCCGCAGCGGGAGTTTTGAGTGTGGGCATGCTCCTTGAGACTTGGAAGAGGTGGGTAGTGCCCGGATGGAGCGGCCCGGGGCGCTGTGGGGAGGCCGAGCAGCGACTACTCACGCGGAAACCTCCCCCTCCACCTCAGTTTTCAAAGTTCTCATTTGAATATTTGCTACTACCAGCAAGATATGTGTCGAGCCCGTCTGGGCCCACGCTTTAGGCCTAGCACCATACCGTGACTCGTCGCTCTGCGAGGAACCAAAGTCGACAACCGAATGTATTCCAGAATCGCCCACAGTTCGGGGCGGGCTGATTCGGCAAGCAAGTTGTTGCGCATACTTAGTGAAGCCTAGGCTCCTACACCACCAACCTACAGTCTATATCAGTCCGCGCCCGTTACTCTGTCTATGTTAGAACACAGCCTGGTGCAAAGGCGAACGAAAGCAAAGAAGGCAAAATGAACCTAGGCGTGAGGGGGCGCCGGATGCATGTGGGGCGAGAAAGAAGGGCGCAGCGACAGGAAGAGGGCAGCTGTGGAGGGAGCAAAAAAGCATATAACCCGCCGGTCCTCGATGGAAAACGATCGGGTAAGGATGCTAATCTGGGTTTATTTGGCTGGGCGAATCATATGGGGAGATTAAAATAACAGAAGGATTAGTGTAGAGGGAGATGAGCAAAGAAACTTATGCGTGGAGATGGCGATGGGGGAAAAGAGGTGAGGGAAGAAAGTGTGAATCTCTCCCGTTTCTTGACGAAAACGGCCGAAGAAGGATTCAAATCGGGGGTTTTCAGGGATTGCGAACCCAATTTTGTAATTACTTAGGTTGGAAAGTTAATAGAATAGGAGTTAGTAGAAGATTGTGGTGGACGGAAAAACGAGTGCACTACTCGGTTCTTAACGAAGATAAACGAGGGAAGAATATGACTCAAGGAAAGTTTTTTCCTTCGCCATATTTCGATGTACCCGGCCAACCTTTTGACCAGATTCACTTGGCTTCTAACACCCTCAGCAGGAAAAATAACACGCGGGCCCTCCGATGACCACGCACACTGCTATTTTACTAAGATGGAGGCGACCACCATATTTAACGACGGGGAAGTCATTCCAAACTATCGCTTATCGTGCAGAGAGGGGGAAATGTGGTTGGCAACAACTACGAATACGGCCAGTGCCCCTCCCCCCCCCCCGTCAGATCCCGACCACGACGACGAGCGGCAGATCGTCGTTTAATGGAATCTTGCTCGTAACCTGCAGATGAGTGGAAGTGATCACGATAGTGGGCATTGCGACCACGATCATGGGATTGTCCGAACGAGGGGGTCATGGTTATGGGGGAGAACGTTAATGCAATCTCGATGAACTAGCGCGTATGGCCACGGATCACCCCCGCTACTTGTCAAGCGAGTATGAGAATGAAGCATTCTCTAAAACGTGGGGAGATACATCGTCATCCTTCCTGGGCATAGCTCAGAATCATTGTACTGCCCAAGCCAAACCCTCAACCTGAAATCCCCTGCCGCGACTTTGTTCACAATGCTCCGGACCCCTGAAGGGCTTCTTCAATCACCCGTTTTCATCAAAGAACGGGTCAGTTAGACGATTTTTACTCCCTCCGTATCAACATGTACTAATACCCCGCGCACCCTTTAGTTCCTACAACACAAAAGGTACTAGAGGAGTTGACGGATGACCGGAGTGTGTGATGTAGCCAGGAAGGAAAAAGGGAAGCATGACCGCTTCCAAATATTTGAGACAACACGTTATTGGATCGAGGGTTTTTGACTGTCATGCTCATCAATCGAACTATGTTTGAATTGGAATTCAGCCTCTTGTTGCAACTGAGCCTGCTCCACTGATTATGCACAAACTGATGAGTTTTTGTTGTGCGTCGCCACTTGGAAACTTCTGTGTTTTTTATTGGCTATGCGCTGCCGCCGTGCCTTGCGGTAGTGCATTGCTGTAACGACTGCAATGTTTTTTTTTGCGGCCAAGTATGTGTAGCCAACTGCCACTGCTTCTGGCTTTGCCCTTGCCTTAACTACCGCAATACTCGGCTGCCACGCACGGTCATTATAGGCGCCATATCAGTAGAGTTACTATATTGTGATTGCGACTCAAAATAGAGTAAAGGGGGGTGTACTCTATATCAGTACGACCATTCTTAGACTGAGCCGCAACGTCTTGACTAGAGGGGCTGATGCCAATTTGAAAAAGTGGTCAGAGTTTATACATGGGATTTTGTTGCGAGTTGGAGGGGTATCAGAGAATCAACGGCTGGAAATTTTGCGTAAGTTGACAAAGCTTCTGCACATTTGTTTTTGCCACCATTGTGGGGTCCTCATGCGCATCGAGGCAACAAGGCCCTCTCCTGCGAGTTGAGTCAGTCCCTTCCTTCTATCTCGAGCGTCTGAGACCTCTTCTTATGTCCTTCTTACTTTAAGTCTGATATGAGGTTACGAGAGGAAGGCAGCAGACGGGATTGCAACCTGTACGACCGCATCAAGGCTTTGTGGCAAGTATGCCCACCGATTGTGAGAGCTCAACCGAAACTTAAAAGTTCTGGAGGCAGGGAATTGAGAGGTAAACCTTCATCTTCCTTCTATAAACCCAGTTATAACGTATTTATACATCCTTCTACGGCTTGACTGAGTATACTGCATGTATCCCATATTGACTTTACGTTTGACTTTCAAGATTTAAATCAGACTTAAGAAAAGGAAGGCATGCGCAACCTCAATTTCTTTTTGTTGTTTGTCTGAAGTTATATTGTGGAAAGGGTTTGCTTCTGGGGGAAAGGCGGGAGGAAGGTGGTTTCGTTTGCATTTGATCGGGTCAACAAAAAGTTGGGTGATGTTCCTAAGTTGGATAACTCAGTGCTATGTTTATTCTTGGTTTCTTTGAGGACCAGACATGCTTCGATAAATTTGAATGGTTTGGTTGCTCTGACTTGTGAGGACTACATGTCTTGTTTTTCAGGGACCAAACAATTGTTTCATAAGTTCTGATGACTTCGTTGCCTTGTTTTATTCAGGGTTTCTGATGTTTATTGGCTTATGAAATAAAAAGTTGAGCACTTGTTCTATAAGTTTGGATGACTCTAACTTCTTTTTGTTTATCTTGGACAAGGACCAAACGAAGGGTTGGACATTGTTTCATAAGTTTGGATGATATAGTCTGGAGCCACATACATGTTGAAACCAGAATGATAAAATTTGTCTATACCTTTATATTATTTAATTTACGAATAGGTTAGTCAGATATTGTTCCATTTGGATGGTCCGACTGTAGCTTATCACAAAACGTAAGAGAATATCAATTAAGAGTAAACTTATGGTAAGAATGGGCATGCTGAATCTTATCTCTAAGTTTAATGGTTAAGTCGTATGTTGCCTTAAAAGACTAAGGTGCAGAAAGTTATATATAACTTGGATATTTTGAACAGTTTAGGGCGACTAAGTTGGACGGTCTAGCCACATGCTCAATGGAGAGAAAAACTGTAGTGCCCTGTATTTTATGTATATCCAATGATTGAGCTATACATTTTTTCATAAGTTTGGATGTTATAATTTTACGCCTTATGTAAGTTGGGTATAAGAGACAAATCATTAAAAAACTATGAACTATTGTTTGACAAGGTTTGATCTGAGGGTTGGTGATAGTACTTACGATTGTGGTTTGCACTTGCATATGACTGAGTGAGATCTGTACTTAGTTTGAGTTTCAGTTTGACAGGTAGTGTTTTTAGTTACTCGCCACGTGTTAGAGTCATAGGAGTTAGTTCAATTTATGCATCTTCAGAACTAACATTTTTTTACGTGGGTCAATTATCGCATTTTTTGGGATTATTTATTATATTTGGCCTTGTTTAAATCTTGGTAAGATACTTCCCCTATAGGAAGCGCTGCCAAAATTTATACAAAACCAAAAACTTAGTCAAATATGATTTTTCAAAGTTTAACTTTTTACCGAAGTTTATATCTAACTTAGTAAAAATTTTAAAAACTTTTTTTCTTTGGGGGAATTACTAATTCAGGGAGTTAGACAAAATTTGACTTTGGAAAATCAAAGTCCTTTCAGATTTGAACTTAGTTTTGTATAAAATTTAAAAAATTACTTTCTCTACAGGAAGCGATGCCGAAATTTTTAGAAATCTAAGGAGTTAGTTAAATTTTGTTTTGACATAACTCAAATTTTATTTCAAGTTTTTATCTAACTTAGTATAAATCTAGGAAGTATAATTTTCTAAATGAGATGTTGTCCAAATTTTTAATGATTCAAGGAGTTAGACAACATTTGATTTTTCAGAGTTAATGTTTATTTATGTCTTTCATATTCAGGCTAGTATAAATTTTGAAAAAACACTTTTCCTACGGAAAGCGCTGCCGAAATATTTTTAGTTTAAAGGAGATATATTTTATTTTGATAGGTAACAATTATAGCGATTCACCTTGCAAAAGAAGAGATTCTGTCAAAGTTCTATATTTCTTTAGGGCATTTGCTTAGAGTAAGACATAAACTTAGTATAAGGAAAATTTTGAGTAAGAATGTGTTATGGAGATTCATTTTCCATACATTGATAGTCTAGCTTTGGACATTTGCTTGTCTTGTGTTACACGTTTTTTTTTATCGTTTCAATTAAGGATTTGGACTAGATTCAACTCGATCCCGCGATGATCATATTTTGTTATCACTGATGACAGATCGGTTGCCGATTCATCGGTTTACGATTCAACTTGAATTCGCTATCGTCAACTCAACCTAAAGACTTTAGCCATGTGCTTTAATTTGTTTCATTGGGTTTTCACCCAGACTTTATTGAATGACCATTTAACAAAGATACTGAGTGTTTTTATTTATGAAAGGTTGGATAAAGGTTGGAGTTTGTATAACTAAAGCGATGGGTGTGAGTGCAGGGAATGATTGAAGTTAATCCGGTGTAGTGCATTAACGTTTTTGTGAATCTTTGATGTGACTGCAGACATGTTTTGTGGTTTAGACTCTGAATTTGATTGTCTGTGATCACACACATATATATGGCTGAAAGGAGTTTCACTGTGATTGTGAGAAGTGATCGTTCCACATTATATACCCCTTATATATATAAAAATACATATGCCTTGAGTGTCCGCGCGACCTACTTCGGACATGCGTAAGGCTTAAACAGGTTATGTCTTTGAGAGAAAATATAAATTTTCTTTTATCCTTTGCTTTTTAGAGTTTTTATATAGTTGGACGTTGGAGTTCGTGACAACCGTCAAAGTCAACCCCCTTGATCTCTCTCTAGGGCCTGAATGATGAAACTTGCCTCTAAGACCTCGAGAGACGACTCCCACCATAAGTATGAACCTATGTACCACTCACACTCCGGAGAGTACAGAAGAGGGTGTGGTGATCAATCACCTTGGCGGTTGATGGTTGTCTAGCGTCGAGAGATTAACCTCTCAAGGCGCGTGTCATCCGACACTTGAGTGTCGAATGCAATCCACGATATCATCGACGATTATATAAATATGGGTAATGCATAGTACGCCATCGATGCGACTGCTTGCATTGCTAGTCGATATGAGAAGGCCCTGCGTTCGCGCGGTTTTATACTAAGTCTCGCGTGCGTCGCCTAATCGATTTCCGTATCATAAGGTTATGGGTCGGATACAAAAAGAGACTAGGAGTGTTGTGTTTGTGAGTAAGCATTTTGTTTTATTTTGTCTTAGTGTGGTGTAACCCATGGTGAGTGGGTTGCGTTCTAGTCGACCGACGACGAGTCGCACTTGGGACTTTAACCCTCAATTCTTCGGTTGGCGTGCGGGTTGGGTAGAGGCGTAGGACCTCGCATACCCCGAATGCTACATCGTACGAGAAACCCCCTCGGCTGGTCCACCTCTGCGATTGCAACTGATTAACTTTCGTATTGTGGACCGATAGCTCGGCGGGGATACGCCCACCGAAGGGAGGTGACAACTCCCGCAGGCGGAGGTAAAGTTGTACCTCGCGTACGCCCTATCCTGTCGTAGGGCGCACTCAGCTGGAGCGGCTGCGGAAGCTCCATTTGTATCGCGGATGACCAAATCCTGCGTGCCGCGGCCGGGGGGGGGCCCTTGCAGAACTGATGCGCTCGACAATGTCGTAGCAGCACAGTACATCAGGCTCAGGCTGTTCTGTCGGGTCTCGTATGTCCGAGGTACGCTAGCAAATAACATCCATGAATAATCTTGGCTTTTTCTTTTTTTCTAACCATAGAATAGAAACAGTGTCACACAAGTAGTATTACTTCGCTAGTGGGTTCTACCCGGACATCATGCGATGGGGATTGAGCCCTATGGGGATTGAGCCCACGGCCTCCTGAATGTCACTTGCGAGCCTTACCAACTCAGCGAGGACGCTGGATGTCGGAGTCAGGAGGGAAATTCTCATGTGGAGAGAAGATTAGCATGTCCGGGCCGAAGTGGGGAGGCTGCCCCATACAAGCTCCAGGGGTCCAGCTTGCGGCCAGGAAGACGGTCGGACGCTGCTACCGTAGCTCCTTCCGACTCCGGTGATGGCTGGTTCTGAAAAGTGAAAGTATTGCGTCTATGGCAGGAGCCATCCCCGAGAAAGGAAGAAACTTCAGCGCCTGTAGGTAGGCAGGCAGGCAGGCAGGCAGGCATTGGAGATTTTGGAATCGCGAGGAGGTGCCTGACGCGCCGAGCGGCTTCCCGATCTCCTTTTTCACTGTGTCGGCAAAGAGTGAGAGTAATCTAGACGGCGTGCAAAATAGTTTACGTGGCCGTTGCTGGCCCCGAGTTTGGAGTTCGGTTATGAGGCGTGATCTACGCACTTGATAGATCGTCACTGTACGTGGCGCTGTCCAGCAAGGAGGGGCCGGGGGAAATGCTGGCGGAAAGGACGGGCAGTGTCGCGGGCTGGCAGTGTCGCGGGCTACCGTGGTGGTGGGATGCGGGGAAAGGGCGGGACCCCTCCATTTCGGAAGGTTTCTTGAATGTGGGTTACGACCGCACCTGTGGACGTTACCTGTTGCTTGAGCGACGACTACCGGTCGCACGCTTCAGGCGGGTAGCGCAGGTCCACGAGCGTGCAATCGTCAGACGTCGCGCGGGGAGGTCAGGCGGTGTAGTTCTCGCTGCCACTTCTGAAATGAGCAGTTCTGCAGGTCAGCAACGGCGGAGTACGGCAAGCTGAAGCCCTTCGATGACATAGGGCGAGAAAGTCGGAGGCAAGGTGAGATCGAATTGAGTGGGTGGCCCTGCCCGCCTGCCTCGTCAACATATACTTCTCCCTCCCTCTCCCTCTCTCTCTGTCTCTCTCTCTCTCTCTCTCTCCCTGCCGCTTTGTGTGTCTTTCTCTCCCATCTTCATCTTCTTTGCTTACCCTGTAATTCACTTCGACCGCTTTAACTGCTCTCCCTCTTTCCTATTTTCCGTCCGATTTTTTTTTTTTTTGGATTGTTTGTATTCTTTACGGATCTCTCGCCGTGGGTTCCAATCTGGCCTCCTATCTTTTCTTTTTTTTGGCCGTCCATCTCCATTATCCGATAACCTGTCTTTGTCCCTGTTGGTCTGTCTGTCTGTCTGTCTGTGTGTTTCTGTCTGTCTGTCTCTGTCCCTGTCTCTGTCTGTCTGTCTCTCTCTCTCTCTCTCTCTGTCTTTTGATTCGTGCAAGTAGGAACTCGCCAGCGCTGTCTCCTCTGGATTTGAACTCATGATCGGATTACTAAAAACTGTTATGTGTGCGTACAAGTCAGCCATTTGCAGTGAAACCACCATCGCCACCTCGACCGCTACCACCACTATGACCATCCTCATCACCATCACCACCCTCATCACCACCACCATCACTATCACCACCACGACCTCTTCCTGCTAAAAATTCAGGCCCATCCCTGAAGATACAATGGAACCTTATGAATGTGCAAGCGATCTTTCCGGTCGGATGCAGTCCGACGCCGTCGGATCTTCATCAATTATGTGGCCCAACTGAAAAAAGGGGGAGGGCTTGCTCCGGGTGATAACGACGGCGATCCTACCTGTCTTCCCCCGAACACAACGCACCCCGATCACAAATGTACACAAGCTATCCTTCCAGTCCGATGCAGTCATGATGCGGGTGCGTTGTGTTCGGGGAAAGACGGCTCAAGGTAGTGGTCCTGTAGTTCTCTCAGTCTCTCTCTCTCTCTCTCTCCCCTCCCCTCTCTGTCTATTCTCACTTACTATTATAACCAGGAAGTGATCAGCCTTTCCTCCCCTTTTCCTCCTCCTCCTCCTCCTCTTCCTCCTCCTCTTCCTCCTCTTCTTCCTCTTCCTCCTCCGCTTCCTCCTTTTTCTCCTCTTTCTCCTCTTTCTCCTCTTTCTCCTCTTGCTCCGCCTCTTCCTCCTCTTCCTCCTCTTCCTCTTTTCCTCCTCTTCCTCCTCTTCCTCCTCTTCCTTCGCTTCCTCCTCTTCCTCCTCTTTCTCCTCTTCCTCCTCTTTCTCCTCTTCCTCCTCTTCCTCCTCTTCCCTCTTCCTCTTCCCTCTTCCTCCTCTTTCTCCTCCTCTTCCTTCTCCTCTTCCTCCTCGTCTTCCTCGTCTTTCTCCTTTCTCCTCTTTCTCCTCCTCCTCCTCTTCCTCCTCTTCCTCCTCCGAATCACTTCCCTGTAAAGCAACAAACAACACGTTCGCGCAAACGGCCGTGAACTGACCTAAACGGTAGTAAAGTGATGCAGACGGCGCAAACGGAATGTGAACGACACTGAGAAGCCCGGAAACTACTTTCTTCCCCCGAATAGAACGTATGGTGATTTTCGCTGCATCTGGACAGAAATGTGAGCCAAATGCGGCCGTTATGAAGACGGTAACATTTGCCCAATCGTCGTGTCGACGAGAGCATTCTCGGTGGAGGCATTAGAGTGAAATAGCGTGCTGGAGGTCCACGTCAGCAGCAAGAGAGCCGATTTAAAAAAAAAAGAAAAAGAGCCGACCGAGCAGGATGTCCACGTCAGCAGCAGGAGGGCCGATTAGAAAAAGAAAAAAAAAAGCCGACCGAGCAGGATGTCCACGTCAGCAGCAAGAGAGCCGATTGAAAAACAAAACAAGAAAAAAGAGCCGACCGAGCAGGATGTCCACGTCAGCAGGAGCAAGAAGCAGAGTCAGTTGGTCATGATGTCCACGTCAGCAGCAAGAGATAGGCGTGATCGGGCAGGATGTACACGTCAGCAGCAAGGAAGATAGTAAATTGGGCAGGAAATCCACGTCAGCAGCTAGACAGGGGTCAGCAGTTGGTAAGTTGTTTCCATGTCACCGGTCGGTCAGGCTGTCTACGTCAGCAGCAAGAAAGAGAGGTGATCGGGCAGGACGTCCACGTCAGTAGCAAGAAAGAGAGTTGATTGGGCAGGATGTCCACGTTAGGACTACGGTAGTAAGAGAGAAAGAGAGAGTCGGTTGGGTAGGTTGCATGTCTTTAGCAATTTAGAGAGTTGATTGGGCAGGTGGTCCACGTCAGCAGCAAGAAAGAGACGATTGAGCAGGATGTCCACGTCAGCGGCAAGAAAGAGAGTTGATTGGCAGGATGTCCATGTCAGCACCAGCAAGAGAGAGAGAGAGAGAGAGAGAGAGAGAGAGAGAGAGAGAGAGAGAGAGAGAGAGAGAGAGAGAGAGTCGGTTGGGCAGGATGTGCATGTTATCGGCAACAGAGTTGATTGGGGAGCATGTCCAAGTCAGCAGCAAGAAAGAGAGACGATTGGGCAGGATGTCCACGTCAGCAGCAAGAAAGAGACGATTGGGCAGGATGTCCACGTCAGCAGCAAGACCGGGACTTCGACGTCGATTAGGAATTTCTTGTAAGTCTTTAACTCCTCGAATGCAATGGCAATTTACACCAGGTGAATTTTTATATGTATATATTTTTTGTCCTTAAAACTTGACTTGTATGATAAGTCACGGGCGTTTTCTATTGTCGCAGGCGAATCTTTTGATTACAGTTCGCTTAGCTTAGTAGTGTACTCGACGTCCACGTCAGCATCAAGAGACAGGCTCTGATGGGACTCAGACTGTTAGGCAGGCTGTCAGCAGCGTTGATGTGAGGTGCCGGGTAAATCCGGCGACGCCAGTTTTTCTCTTCCCCCCCCCCCCCTCCCC